ACATGTATTATTTGTAAATATACTCCTAACGTTAATGAATGTTCATTAAAATCTATAGAACTATACTTTTCAACCATATTTTTAGTCAATATATATCTAGATATAGATGAGGATTACTATTCAACTGTATTCTCTATTCCTAAAGAATTCAAAACCTGTTTGGAGAAGCTCTGCATATAATTTTCGATATACAGCAAAATATTCTAATAAAATGGCCGAGAAAACAGCGCTTTTATTAATATCTGATGGATCTGAGGAAATGGAAGCTGTAATAACGGCAGATGTTTTACGCCGTGGCGGAGTATGTAAAATTATAATACGCTATAACCTTAAAAGTATAATTGCGCATAAGAATAAAGAGTAAATCGCTACATATGCTATATATTATATACAATTTTAGAATGAAATACCTTTTAAATATACATTATAACGTTTAATCTTAGGTTTCCGTTACTATAGCAAGTTTAGGTGATAGTGAATGTGTTAAGTGTAGTCGTGAGGTAAAAATTTGTGCCGACACTAAGCTTGCTAATGTGAATGATAAGGAAAAATATGACGTTATCATACTACCTGGAGGACTTGGTGGCGCGAAAGCATTTGCTGAGGTAAATGTTTTTCTTATTTTAGTATATTTCTTAAGGAATAATAAATTATCTTTATGAAAATTAGTCAGCTGAAGTTGGTCAACTATTGCAAAAACAAGAAAAAGAAAATAAACTTATAGCTGCTATCTGTGCAGCTCCAACTGCTTTAAAAGCTCATGGTATAGCAAAAGGAAAGAAAGTTACTTCATATCCAGCAATGAAAGATCAAATGACTGATGGTTATGAATATTTAGAAGATCGTGTGGTGATAGATGGTATGAATTATTTTTATTAGAAATCTATCTAAAACAAAATCAATTTCATGATTCGTTTATAATTGTTTTAGAAAATAAACACAATAAATCTTTTTATTTTCTAGGCAATCTAATTACAAGCAGAGGTCCTGGAACAGCTTTCGCATTTGGCTTGGCTCTTGTTGAAAAATTAGTAAGCAAAGAAAAAGCCATTAACGTAGCAAAGGGAATGTTATATGAAGATTACAAATAAAAATAATAATTACATTAATGGTAGTTAACAACTTCTATAAAATATTGTATGTTTACAAATATATTATAAGCATTATAATAAATATAAACTTTATATTATTACCAAATAAATTCAATTTATAGGCTACATTTTTTTTATAATTTACCTTCTCATAAAATAATAGCTCGAGTTATGATAAATTTACTTATTTTATTAATATGACAATCATTGAGAGCACAATTTTAAAATGAGTTCTAATAAATCATTCTCATTTTATTCTAGTTCTGACATTTAATTTACTAATGATCACTTAATACAAAATTTTATTTAACTTGTGCTGCATACATGCATAAACAACATTATGCTTTTTCATCCCTAGTTTTGTAATGGTTTATGCCAACAATGAGTACAGTAATACTTTACGTATTTTGACGAATAAGTTTTCATTTTAAATATGAAAGTTTAAAAGAGAACATAGTTTTTTTGAATTTTTGAAAAAAATTGTGTCAAAAAATGATATTTCTACGAGAATAGTTAATAAAAATAAAACTTTTTCAAAAATTCGAGGAAGCTATACCCTCATTTAAATCTTTATCTTTAAAATGAAATCTTGTTTATCAAAATTGATCAAAAATTATATTTGAAGTCACAGTTGGCGTAAATGCCATTTCCGATATTTTTCGTGGAAAAAAAATTTCGTATAGTGGCGCCACTGGAACTTTGCGGCAGAAGAAAAGAAACTCATATCCCCACTACTGATTTTCATATAACACTTGAGTAGTGTACTTTGTTTCTCTGAAATAAATGATGGAAGTAAAACTACCAACGTTATTTTTTCTGTGGTTTCCCCTATGGAGTAGTCTATTTTATATTATTATTATTACTATTCTATTATAATAATAATATATAATCTCAAAATATAATAATAAGAAGAAATAAAAAAGAAAGACATACATACTTAAATATTATATAAATCAAGTACATTATATATTATATATGATGGTAGTGATTTATAACAAAAAAAAAAAAAAGTATATATTTAAAAGAATAAAGTACAATATAGCCAATTTAATCGCAAATGTCTTATTAAGCTCTCTGTCCTTTCTTTTTAGCGCATTCCATATATCATCTCGTGTAATTCCTTTTTATGCGAATTTTCAAGAAATCGTGTCTTCGATAATTTAATCACGTGACCGTCCACCGACAGATATACTTAATACTGGTTAAATATGATGACAAATACGAAGCAATTCTTTTGTTTCGGTCCGTTAAAATTTTTTCCCTTGTATTTTTGTCTTATAATCGTATCATTATTTCGTAATACTCGCTTTTCTGTTTATTCCATTTTTTCTTATATCGTTTTTATTTTGATTCTTATTGATTTTGCGAAACTATTAATTTGTATAAAGTTTTCTTAAGAAATCAATAAGAAAACGTAATGATTCCATTATCAGGTAAATAGCTTTGTATAATCTTTCTAAATATTATAAGTATATTCATTTTAACAATGTAAAGTATATACATAGAAACAAACTATAATTAATATATAAATTAACAATCGCACAATTATTAAAACATTATAGAACTAATAACTCTCATTCATTTAATATTAAATAATTTAATTTTACTCAGGCATCATCTTCGTTAGATAAAAATTTTCAAGTTTAGTCAATTATTCATAAGCTTGAATAATTAATACTTTTCAGTAATATACGAATTTTATTTTTGTTTTCGTTATCGTTTAGTGATGTAAACAATAACGAAGCAGGAAGAGTTAAGCGACTTTGATAGATGACATTTCTATTAAACTTCAAGCAGTGAACATCGTAGCTCTCTTATTTCGTAGCAAATTAGAATAAAAAAATCATTCGATTTATCAACATTCATTTAAGTTATGAATAATACTTTGATATACACTACTAATATTAATAATTAAATTATAATAATTTATATGAATTGTCTATATAATCGTTAACAAAAAATTTTTTTATTTTACAGCGAAATTTTTTCTTTCCATACATCTAAGTTTAAATAATCATTCAAAGAACATAATATACACGGTATATAATAAACCAATATTTAAACACTATGACATTTTTGTAAACATTACGTAGCTCGTAAACATAAAATTTCAATGTAATATTTCAATACACGTAAATTTTGAATTCTACTGAAATAATTCATACTTTCGATAAATTTATGATTATTTAAACAATTTATAATGCGTAGAGAGTATAATAAACTAATATATCAACATAGAAAATTTATTTAAACATTACATAGGTTGTAATATGGATTAAATATCAAATAATTTTAATTTAATATTTCCATATTTAATATTTCCAATAACTTTTTATATTATAACAATGATGTTAATAATTTTAATTTTATTTTTCTATTTTAGAATATCATTACATATACTTGATATAATTGAGTGTTGTATCGCTAAAATAAAAACCAAAAAATGGCAAAGTAGAAGCGATACTTGTTTGTTTACATTTCGCGATTTAAATAACAAGTATATTTTCATCGACTGCGTCCAATACAGTTATTAGGGTCAGTGTTTATTAACAAAGTTTGTTTTTTTTAACAATCATATAGACCATATTTATACAAAACAATAGAGTTTCGCGAAATAAATTTAATGATCATCTATTAATAAGTATCACATATTAGAGTCAGTGCATCATTGAATCTCAACCAATTTCGATGTTGATTTATCTCATTTTTAACGACAATCTCAATCAATTATCCTCAATTTCGAACTAAATCGTGGACAAGTGCTTTAGAGCCATTGCAAAATTTTTTAAGTAATAAGTTAATTCTGAAATCTCTCCGATAATTCAATTGAGGACAAAAAGTACGGATCGGCACGAGTAATTAATTGTAATTAATTAGTAGAAGAGTATTGAGTGACCACGAGTAAATTTCTTCGGAGATCTTCTACTCGTGAATGGTTTCTTATTTTTTGATTTATTAAATCAGAATAGGGTCTTCTTGTTTCGTACGTTCATACGTACGTTTTAGAGTCATCACTTTTGAAAGAGAAAATTCGAGTAAAGTCATTACTAAAGTACAAGGAGACTTGTAAAAATAATTCTACAACGAGCTATAAAGCTCGTAAGTACTAAAATAAATTAATTAATTTTTAGTCCAGGATTTACAGTAATTAATATATTAATTCCCGTTTCTCCTCCTATCCTTTTTCGATCTTTCGACGAATAAATATATTTCGGCTAAAATGCAGTAATTATTTTTTATGCAAAGATCTCAGGTTTTCTCTTTTTTTGGATTCCGTTAGAGTTACAATAAAGCTGTCAGTTTTTTTTTCACATTTTAAAATTAGAGACTAATTAAATAAATCTCGCGATATACACACTAATTCGATTATTAAATTATTTATGAGAGATATGTAACCTACATAAGCTTATACAGTAATGCAATAAATGCATAATGAGAACAGCTTCTCTATTGCGTTTGTAATTCATATTTTGTCTATACCTTATCGCTGGAGTCACGTACACTACGAGCGAAAAGTGATGAACAGCCTTATGTACATTTATGTATTTATAGTATATATATATATGTAAGAATTGTGTATCTAAGAATGGCATTAATACTTGAATAATGATATTATTTTGTGATATATGTCCATCATTCGTATTAATTATTTTTATTGGTTGTCATATATAAATAAACAGATTTTGATTCATGTTTCTTTCACATTATTATAAAAGTATACACATGCCGTGTAGTAGAATATATACATGAAATGATAAAAATTTATAGATACTTTTAGTTGCAATTAAGCCGGAAAAGAAATATCTATATAATTTATTTTACACATTTATCAAGAAACGATGCGAGTTGCAGTTTACTGTAGAAAAACTGAAACACCGATATAATACAAAACATAACCTACAAGACGATACTTGTTTGAGTTTTCTTGTTTTGCAAGTGAAATGTTTTGTCCTATTAAATATTTTAAACGAGGCCGATCGATGACTACTGCCGTTAGATGTAAACGACGAGTTGTTATTACCGGGTTAGGGCTTGTATGTCCTCTTGGAGTTGGTGTACAGAATGCTTGGAAGAATCTTCTTGAATCTAAGTCTGGAATAATCAAATTGTCTGATGTAGATTATGATAAACTACCTTGTAGAGTAGGTAAGAAATTTAAATATAGTTATGTATATTCAATATTACAAATAATAATCATATATAATTAAAAATTAAAGTTTATATCCATTACAGCTGCTCTGATACCTAAGGGAGATCAATCATACGAATTAAATATAAACAAATACTTTTCTAAGAGCGAATTAAGAACAATGTGTTCTGCAACAGCTTATGCATTGATATCTTCTGAAGAAGCTCTGTCTGATGCGAAATGGAAACCAGAAGAAGAAAATGATAAAAGAGATACAGGAGTAGCTGTTGGTATTGGAATGATTGATTTAGTAGATGTATGTGCGACGTATGAAGCTTTAAAAAAAGGATATAGTAAAGTCAGTCCCTATTTTGTACCACGAATTCTACCAAACATGGCAGCAGGTCATATTAGTATTAAATATGGATTTCGAGGACCCAATCATTGCGTATCAACTGCTTGTGCAACTGGAGCACATGCTATTGGTAAAATAATAAAAAGCAATAACAATATTAAATTAGTTAAAAATAAAGTGTATACTAAAATTAAAATAATTCTATTGTTTAGGTGATGCATTTCGTTTTATACGTGGTGGTGATACTAGTGTTATGGTTTGTGGTGGAGCTGAAGCATGTATCAGTCCATTAGCTGTTGCAGCATTTTGTCGTCTTCGTGCACTTAGTACTTCCAAAAATGATTCTCCCTATGAAGCATCAAGACCATTTGACAGAGATAGAGATGGTTTTGTAATGGGTGAAGGATCTGCTATACTAGTATTAGAAGAATTAAATCATGCTCTTAGTAGACAGGCTCCTATATATGCAGAAATTCTCGGATATGGACTCTCAGGAGATGCAGCACACATAACAGCACCTAGTGAAGATGGTACTGGTGCTTTGTTAGCAATGGATAGAGCAGTAAAAGATGCTGGTATAGAAATATCAGAAATTACATATATAAATGCACATGCTACTTCAACTCCATTAGGTGATACCATTGAATTAAAAGCTGTAGAATCTCTTATGGGAGAACATAGTAAAAACGTGTTTGTATCTAGTACAAAAGGAGCGCATGGACATTTATTAGGTGCTGCAGGAAATTTAGAAGCTGCTTTTACGATTTTAGCTATAAAAGATGCTGTGATTCCACCTACATTAAATTTACATAATTTGGATGTAAAGACAAGCCTACATTTTGTACCTAATGTAAAGAAAAATTGGTTTGCTACTGGAAGACGAGTTGCTCTAAAGAATGCTTTCGGTTTTGGCGGAATAAATGCGTGTCTCTGTTTTGCAGAATATATTGCTTAAAAAAAGCTTAAATATTAGGCATTTTACCAAACTCAAAAAGCATAATATGCTGTACATGCTCGATGTAATAAGCGGGCGTTATTTTATACAGGAATAATAATAAAATCATTGTAAATACCTTTGTACATTTGCTGTAAACAAGTTTAGAAAAAAAAAAATATTCGATAATGAATCTAATCTTAATCATCAATTATTATAGTAACTTAAATATTTTAAATAATTTTATGCAACAATATACAATATACAAATTACATGATTTAGGATAGATTCTTTTTTATATAGAACTTATTACATTAAAATTACACAAAAAGAGATGTAAACTGGAATAATAAAATATATATTGGAATGCAACATTTATTTTATATTAAGTTTTCAATAATCTTTAATCATGATACTACCATTGTATTAGCGGAATTACGAGTGATCATGATCACATCGCAACAAAAACAATTTCCTTGAAATTTTAACACTTCAAGAAAATAAAATACTCTCTGAGTATATCGTATCGTAATTGATAAGATGTATGCCCAATATCATAACACACTTTTTTTTTGTGTATCAGATTTAAATTTGTCATGTATTATGACCAAGGCGTGCTGGTATAAAATGCCTGCATTGATTCCAGTTATAGAAGCATATTGCATTACGTTCGATTTTAACTATGAGCTATAAGTGTAAAACAAATAACTCTGTATGTCAATTAAACATTATCTAAATTAAAGATAACTGTGAATTCAATGCATAGGCTTGATAATTTTTGACGATAATTTTACTATATCATAAACACATGTCTTTTATGTAGCTGAATTTAGTTGTGTATAAAATAACTAAATTCAATATATATATCAATGATTTTTTTGATAAATTATCTTATATAATATTTCTATAATGTATGATCCAATGATACTTTATTCACATTGGAAAATGATCCTCCAATGATAACAATTATTCAAAATACATCTATAATATTCACGACTCTACTGGCAGTAAATCAATGTAAAAAAACAAAAGAGAAAGATCATATCCTATTAAGTAACTGTACCTAGTAGGAATTTTTAATGAGGAATGATAAAAGGCTTATGATGGCTGCAGAGAATTGCAAAACGTTTTCTAAGTGTTTGTCGAAGTTCCTGACGTTTCTCAAGGACTTGACACATTCGAGATTTAAATTCCAAAACTTCCTCTGCAGGAATATAGCTCTCTTTTTCCTCGTCATCTGATAAGTAACAATCCTGTATACAAATAATGTTTATGAACAATCGCTTATGATTATCAATGGTAATAAGTTTTTCTTTTATTTTTCTTTTTTTTTTACACTGACCTCCAGCATTTGTGTAAGTGTTGGACCTCCACCTCTTTCTTTTAGCAAAGAAATACTAGAATTGGAATGAACAAGTTTATCGGATGTTCGTATATCATGACAATCACCTTCATGATTACAACAACCATCACTGCAAGCTACTTCAGAACCTTCGGGTGTACTAGGAATAGATGGACTACTAATATTATGTTCAGATGAATAACCACAATCCTGAGATGATTGTTCACTTGATGAACGACTTTTTCTATCAGCCATAGATAATTCAAAGCGTTTTTTCATTTCTATCCAAATCGTATATCTTTTGCTTGGTTCACCTATCCAAGCACCAACTAATTCTTTGGTCACAGGATCTTTACAATCATCGAGATTATGCCACTGTTCATCCTCAGTTTTATCAGAGAAGTCCTACGTTTAATGATTAAATTTTATAGAGTTGCGTTCGTTTTAATTAAAAGCAGACTAATAAGTCCCATAAAAGTATAGTTACCTTACACGAGTCGCAACTTTCAAATAATTCTTCTTCAGAAAAATGTTTTATCTCTGAATTAGTTTCTTCTATTTGACTTTGACTAACTTTCGTCTTTGATTCAGAAGTTGTTTTCTTGGAACTACTTTTTTGCGGGCTTGAAATTTTTTTAGTCGAATATGGTAATTGTGTTTGACTTTGAGATTGTATTATACTAGGTATTTTTGCTTTTTTCAAGCAATCAGGACATTTACATGTCGGTGGACCTTTATTTTTTGGATCTAAAACTTGTAACTGAAAAATAAATTTCTATAAGAATAAACAAGGGATAGGTAATATATATACGTAATTAAATACATGTTGCTATGTTGCATATACCTTATGTCGATCGATATTTTGTGTTGTCGGTTTTACTTCCATACAAATACAACATGTTTCACTATTTCCGCTTCTCCTTTCATTGGAACACTAAAAATTGATACATAATTATATAATAAAATTAATAATATATAAAAGAAGCAAATAATGATAATTATATAATATCATACATGACATGAATTTTCTTTCTCCTCTGTTTCATAACGGCGTTCCTTCTTCTTCTTTCGTTTTAATCTCAATTTTTCTCGTCGTTGTTGTTTAGCTATTTCTTCCCTTGTTAATTCCTCATACAAAAGTTCTAATTGTGAAATTCCTTGTTTCACTTCGACTGCCATCTAGAGGAAAAATAAATTTGTGTCAAATAACAAATAATAATAAATTAATAATAAGAAAGTAACATTTACTTGAAAATTTCTAGACAATGCATCAACTGCTACTGCAGCTAATACTTTGTAAACTGTTTCTTCCTCTCTTAATCGCCGATGGACTTTATGTAAACGTTCCGCAACACATATTCCAAGACAAGTGAGTACTTCTTCTTGAGCAATTTCTAATGTTTTCGCATGTCTTTCTCTAAGATATAAATAAATCATTGTTTGATATTAAACTATGAAATTTCTTATTTTATATTAAAAAAATATTGTTAAAGTAATAGAATTATACCTTCCCATAAGTTCTGGTTGAGCACGACCAATAAGTGTACTGATATAATCTGTACTAGTTGGTAAATGAACATGACGGTCCGGTATACATCGTTTAATACCAGAATATAAAGCAGCTACATAACCTGTTTCTTTCGCTGGTTCATGTTCTGTTGTTAAAATAGACGATGCCAAAAGAACTTTTGTTCTACATTCGGCGCAAAATCTAAAATATCAATTAATGTTATGATCGTATTTAATAAAAATATACGCGGTTACACATTTCTATACATATACGTACCTATGTTTACGTAAATATGTATCTAATGTGGCATCTAGAGTATCAGTTTCAATCAAAGCAAGTTCCTGTCTACATGGTAACTCCATGCAATCCCAAACTTCTCTCCATGCACTTGGAGGTGGTCTCATGCGTTGTATTTCCAAAGAATGTAAAACACATCTTCGCGATTTTTTATTTCTTGGTTGTTTTTCTACTAAATTATTCAATCTTGCACTGAAATATTTTGAAAAAGTACTTGTTATATGTATACACACACATTACACACATTACATTTACACACACACACAATAATAGCATTTATATTTTTTTAAACAAAATGACTATATTACCTGTGTCCTTGTAACATAGTACAAAGTAATTGAGGTGATTCCAAAATATCATCACTTATTGATAATAAACCATCTGGAGTAATGATCAATGGATCTAGTGCAGGATGTCCTGATTTCATTAAATCATCAAATAATCTTTCAACACTAAACAGAAATAGTATTATATATATTATATTAGATGTAAATATTGCATAATATTATATTACATTATATATGGTAATTATATTTTCAATATATATACTACCTTCTTCTACAACCAACGCATGGTACAGCTTGTCCTAAAATAGTTAGCATATCTTTACATGTAACTTCGAAAGATGCTTTAATTTCTTCTTTCGTAAGCATATCCAACTTCCTAGTGAATTCATCCAATTGTTTTCCACGGACAAGAGGACTAGCACAGATTGCTCCTAAGCCATTTACATCCATGATCATCTATTGAAATAAATAATTTCATGTTGTTACAAATTTATATTATAAAAATTATAAACAGCAAATATATTTTTATGATTATACAATTATAGGTATATAATTGTATCTATTAAAAAGTAATTATACCAAAAAAGCTTTAAAAAATTTCATTTGAAATGAAACATAATTATCTCATATAACTTTGCTAAATAGATTATTAATAATAATAGATGTTCTTAAAATAACTAACATTTAAATCAATCTCATTATATATAACATGAAATAGATTTATTATATTTTTTTGATATAACAATAAAGATCAGTTATTTTCTATTTTTTTCTTTTTAAATCAAATTCATGCCTTTCTTTTATTTCTGACTCATTAAATTTTTTAAGTGATAAAAAAGATAGTAAAGTTATAATTTGTAGTCATCAAATACATAAAACTTCTCGTTCATTACATATATGCATCATTTTTAAAAATGTAAAACAAAAGCAAATCGAACGAATTCGAATAAACGTAAATATATAATACCGTTTGGAGTAGAGTTCATATCGTTAGAAAGTCTGAAATAGCAGTAAAATCACTGATAAATGAATATAACAATAAAAAAGGAAAAACAAGTTTGTCAAAAGTTTTATGAGACTTAATCGTTTATAAATTGGACATGCACTCCTCGGCCAATGTTTAGGTTAAGTCACACACATAGAATCATCAATGCCATTACGTAAGTTTCCTAAGGATTTATATTTTCAGAATTTCATAATTGAAGCTGTAAAGAAATAAATGTTAAAGTAAAATATTCTCACCGTGAGATTTTCATCAACGATCAACGGCATTTGTCTTCGCGTCAGATCGACCGGGTCATCGTCCCGCCAAACATTCACTAATTTTGCCATTATCTCTTTAGATTTTATTCTTTTATTCTTAATTATCCTTAATTGTTGAAGTCGATACTTTTTGTTTAGATACGATTGTACGAGACTTCAAAACTAAGATAATTTTACAACACGTTGAATACGAAAACAAGCATAAGATGTCACACGTCTGCCATTTGCAACGAGTAGTCTTTCACTTCCGTCCTGCGTGCATTGTCCCGTTTGCTTCTCTATACGCGTCATTTTGGAGTTCTTCCGATAGTATCGCGCCATAACGTAATTTCCACAACTTTTTTGATAATTACATTTGTATTCATAGTCTTTATATACATATATATATATACATATATATATATATATTTATTAAGTGGTTATTTATAAAACTTTTTTTACTTTTTTTAAACAACAAACTTATATATTTATTCTCTATATTTTCCCTCTTTTTTTGATATTACATAATTGCATATTCGACTAACGGAAAAACTTATTTAAATTTTCAGATCCTATTCATTTTTTGTTTCATTTTAATGATTTTATAATAGCGCAAGTTATATAATAAACATGAAGTGGAATCGATAATTGTTTCTCTCACTTTTAATTTATATCAAAAACATTACGTCATTTATAATCACGATGTTTGGTTCTTAAAATTAAAGGAGTAACATATTATAGTATAAAGTAATCTAGAAAATTCGATGATACATATTATACTATACATTATCATGATAGAATTACTTGAAAAATGTTATATTGTATCGTTTGCTAATTTGATTTTCCCGCTATTCTATTGAATGCCATCTGATTAGTACGTTTGAAAATGCGTTCGTATTTATTATGCTCTTAGTGGCCTTTGTACCTCAAGGCTACCATATGTATCAATTTTAAACTTTATATATTAAATATTTTCAAATATATTCAATATTTTCAATGTTGAAAAATGTTATCTAATAATCAATTGATGAGAAATATACTAATTAATGTTAAACCTAATAATTTTCTTATTTTTTCTTTTACTTGTAGTGATAGATTTGAATTTTTAACTAATTAAAACAATTATTTGAATAAGGTATTTAATTAATAAGGCTGTTTATCACCTTTAGTTTTATAATGGTTATGTCAACAATGATGTGCTGTTTTCTAATGATTTTGATGAACAAGGTCTCATTTTAAAGATAAAGGTATAAAAGAAGAGATGCCTTTTTCGAACTATTGAAAAAGAATTATTTATTTTTTTAAATCGTGTCAAAAAATGTTGTTTTTTCGATTATAGTTCTTCTTGTTTCTCGATTGTTAGGTTATGCGTGAGAACAGTATAACCTACACTATCTTATACATCGATATAATAGATCTTAGTAGGGACAATGTTTTCTTATTGCGCTTGTAGTTCATATTTTGTCCATACCTGTCGCTGAAGTCGTATACACTAAACCGATAGGTGGTACTTAAGACTGTTCACCACACCTGTGTTTTTAATGGTTTACGCCAACAGTGAGATTAGATGTAATTCATGACCAAATTTTATCAAAAAGATCGTATTTTAAATAAGAAGGATTAATTTAGGATCGCGGTTTTTTGAATTTTTGAGAAAAGAAGGTGCTAAAAATACTTCGAGAGTAGTTTATGTACAAATAAAAAAATAATTTACAAATTTGAGGAAGTGAGATACTAGATTAAACTTTCTTATTTAAACTGCGATCTTATTCACAAAAAATGGTCAAGAATTACGCCTGTGGCCATTGTGGTGTAAATACTGCTTTTAACATTTTTTGCAAAAACAAAGTTTTGTACTGTAACGCCCTTTAAAATTTGCGGCAAAAGAGAAAAAAAATCACGTTGGATGATATGTTTATTCCGAGAAGGAATATGTTTATTCTGCGAAAATTCCTAAACTTCAATATTTTAATCCCGGGGTTGTTGGCCTTGTGCAACATAAACATAAACGGTCCATCTATTAACTTTGACGGTTCGTGAGTTAGATTCCTTTTGTACTATGACCAGTTCATATCGTCTTTCTCTTTTACCACACGCGGGAATTATAAATGAATAATTTTAATAAATTTATAATTTTTTTAACAATATACGTGAACATGTGATACAATAAAGTAATATTTAAACAATAGTACATTCGTTTAAACATTATAAAAGACGGTAACGCGGGAGAAATTTAAAATTATATTAATATAAATTTCTAATACTTTTTAATTCATTCTCGGGGTTGTTGGCCTTCAGCAATATAAACATAAACAGTCCTTCGATTAACTTTGACAATTCGCGAGTTAGTTCTCCTTTGCATTTCGACCAATAAACATCGGTTCTCTTTAGTTCTGATCGCGACAACGCATAAATTAATAATTTCGGCAATTCCTCAATTAATTAAACAATTTTTAACGTACAAGGAATATAATAAAGCAATATTTAAACAATAGTAGATTCGTTTAAGCATTATAAACAAAGAAATGCGTGAGAAACTTAAAATAATTTGATATAAGATTCCAGTATTTTAAAATTTTATCTCGGGTTGTCGGGCTCCTGCAATATAAACATAAACGGTCCATCGATTAAATTTGACGATTCGCGAGTTAGTTTTCTTTTGCACTCCGACCAGTGCACACCGATACTTTTTATTTATAATCGCGGAACTTACAAATTGATAATTTCGATAATTTCTTAATTAATTAAACAATTCTTAACATACACTGAGTACAATAAAACAATATTTAAACAATAATATATTCGTTTAAACATTATAAAAGAAAGAAACGCGCTAAAAACTTAAAATAATTTCAATACATAATACTGATACTTCAAAATGTAATTTCGGAGTTGTTGGCCTTGTGCACTATAAACATAAACGGTCCTTCGATTAACTTTGACGATTCACGAGTCAGTATTCTTTTGCTATCCGTCCAATGTACACCGGTACTTTCTATTTCTAATCGCGGAACTTAAAAATTGATAATTTCGATAATTTCTTAATTAATTAAACAATTCTCAACATACATTGAGTACAATAAAGCAATATTTAAACAATAATATATTCGTTTAAACATTATAAAGAAAGAAACGCGCTAAAAACTTAAAATAATTTCAATACAAATTACTGATACTTCAAAATGTAATTTCGGAGTTGTTGGCCTTGTGCAATATAAACATAAACGGTCAATCAATTAACTTTGACGGTTCACGAATCAGTATTCTTTTGCTATCCGTCCAAAGTACACCGGTACTTTCCATTTCTAATCGCGGAACTTAAAAATTGATAATTTCGATAATTTTTTAATTAATTAAACAATTCTCAACATACATTGAGTACAATAAAGCAATATTTAAACAATAGTATATTCGTTTAAACATTATAAAGAAAAATATCTAAAATAATTATGATACAAAATACTGATACTTCAGAATTTAATTTCGGAGTTGTTGGCCTTGTGCAATATAAACATAAACGGTCAATCAATTAACTTTGACGGTTCACGAGTCAGTATTCTTTTGCTATCCGTCCAATGTACATCGGTATTTTCTATTTCTAATCGCGGAGCTTAAAAATTGATAATTTCGATAATTTCTTAATTAGTTAAACAATCTCTAATGTACACGGAGTATAATAAAACAATATTTAAACAATAATATATTCGTTTAAACATTATGAAGAAAGAAACACGCTAAAAACTTAAAATAATTTCAATACAAAATACTGATACTTCAGAATTTAATTTCGGAGTTGTTGGCCTTGTGCAATATAAACATAAACGGTCCATCGATTAAATTTGACGATTCGCGAGTTAGTTTTCTTTTGCACTTCGACCAGTGCACACCGATACTTTTTATTTCTAATCGCGATAACTTATAAATTAATAATTTCGGTGATCTCTAAATTAATTAAACAATTCTTAACATACACTGAGTACAATAAAACAATATTTAAACAATAATATATTCGTTTAAACATTATAAAGAAAGAAACGCGCTAAAAACTTAAAATAATTTCAATACAAAATACTGATACTTCAAAATGTAATTTCGGAGTTGTTGGCCTTGTGCACTATAAACATAAACGGTCCTTCGATTAACTTTGACGGTTCTCGAGTCAGTATTCTTTTGCTATCCGTCCACTATACATCGGTACTTTCTATTTCTAATCGCGGTACTTAAAAATTGATAATTTCGATAATTTCTTAATTAATTAAACAATTCTTAACATACACTGAGTACAATAAAGCAATATTTAAACAATAATATATTCGTTTAAACATTATAAAGAAACAAAATGTAAAATAATTTTGATATAAAATACTGATACTTCAGAATTTAATTTCGGAGTTGTTGGCCTTGTGCACTATAAACATAAACGGTCCTTCGATTAACTTTGACGGTTCACGAGTCAGTATTCTTTTGCTATCCGTCCAATGTACATCGGTACTTTCTATTTCTAATCGCGGAACTTAAAAATTGATAATTTCGATAATATCTTAATTAATTAAACAATTCTTAACATACACTGAGTACAATAAAGCAATATTTAAACAATAATATATTCGTTTAAACATTATAAAGAAGAAAATCTAAAATAATTTTGATATAAAATACTGGTACTTCAGAATTTAATTTCGGGGGTTGTTGGCCTGGTGCAATATAAACATAAACGGTCCATCGATTAAATTTGACGATTCGCGAGTTAGTTTTCTTTTGCACTCCGACCAGTGCACACCGATACTCTTTATTTCTAATCGCGATAACTTATAAATTAATAATTTCGGTGATTTCTAAATTAATTAAACAATATTTAACGTACACGTAGTACAATAAACTAATATTTAAACAATAGTAGATACGTTTAAACATTGTAAAGAAAAAAACCTAAAATAATTTTGATATAAAATACTGATACTTCAAAATTTAATTTCGAAGTTGTGCACATTTGTACTCTCTGTTTCTAATCGCGGAACTTAAAAATTGATAATTCCGATAATTTCTTAATTAATTAAACAATTCTTAACATACACTGAGTACAATAAAACAATATTTAAACAATAATATATTCGTTTAATCATTATAAAGAAAGAAACGCGCTAAAAATTTAAAATAATTTCAATACAAGTACTGATACTTCAAAATGTAATTTCGGAGTTGTTGTCCTTGTGCACTATAAACATAAACGGTCCTTCGATTAACTTTGACGGTTCACGAGTCAGTATTCTTTTGCTATCCGTCCAATGTACATC